GCATCTATTGTAATGTATTCTAAAGAAAATGGGAATGTAAGTTATGCTACATCTTAGCGTATGTTAAATTGCTTTAATCATACCGCTTAAGGGGTACTCACAGAATATAGGTTACCTTCCAGCATCTAGACCTCTCCCACTCCTCCCGCCCTGAGCCCCATTCCCAATAATAAAATAGAAGAATTTCTTTTTTTTTTTTTTTTTTTGAAACGGAGTCTCGCTGTGCTCCCAGGCTGGAGTGCAGTGGCGTGATCTCGGCTCACTGCAAGCTCCGCCTCCCGGGTTCATGCCATTCTCCCGCCTCAGCCTCCCAAGTAGCTGAGACTACAGGCGCCCGCCACCACGCCCGGCTAGTTTTTTGTATTTTTAGTAGAGACGGGGTTTCACCATGTTAGCCAGGATAGTCTCGATCTCCTGACCTTGTGATCCACCCGCCTCGGCCTCCCAAAGTGCTGGGATTACAGGCTTGAGCCACCGCGCCCGGCCCAATAGAAGAATTTCATTCCAAGTAAGGATTATTGTACTTGGGAGATAATGATGCTCCCATCTTTGAGGATAGTATGTCTTACATGGGAACCTCCTTTCTCTTACTGATTGTGGGTGGATTATTTTGCTGACCCTAGTGTTTAGGTGTGCAGAATTCTGCAAGTTGAACATAGAGATTTAACATATTAAGTAGTACATTTAACTTAAGCCAAATTTGGCTGTACAAGCTCATTCCCCTGGAATCCGCCCCCATTAAAGGAATTTTTAAGAGGTAAAAAACCCAAAAGGGAGTGGGGAGAATGGGAGGAGACACAGTATTGGGCCAAAGCAATTCAGCAAATTTTTGAAAGACAGAAAATAGAAGGAAGAATAGCAGTAAATGATAGAAGAGGAGAAGCTATATTGGGATCCCTGCCAGGAGGAAAATGATTTGAGAAGGTAACAATTTGCTGTTAAGGTAAACCCATAAAGGCTCAGGGCACAGAGGCCCAAGTATTGAGTACTGCAGGGGTGAAATGGAGGCTATCATGGGACTAGCTAGAAGTCTATGGAGGCAGTACGTAGACCCCAGGTCCTTTCCCACTCCATGTAGTCATATGATTACCCTTTTCAGAGCAATAGATCAGAGGTTTATTTTCTGAAAAACAAACAAAAAAACAAACCTGATAAGCTCTAGACTTGGGAACACCAGACACAACTGGGTTAGTGATGAGACTTAGGAGACACTGAAAATAGCATGGAAAAAACGAAAGTCTGCATACTGAACTGGGATTTCCCTGGACCTATTTCCTGCCCTGTCTCCAGAAAGCAAGCAGGCAGACCTGCAAGTACTTTCTGGGGCCCCAGACAAATTCTTCTCCGTAGAAACAAGGTAGCTGCTGTTTTCTTTTTCTGGAACTCTAGTTTACTGAGATGTTGGACTTACTAATTATAGATTATTATTTTTTCCTCCAGATTTATTGAAGTATTATTTAAATATAAAATTTCCCTACTTTAAGTGTATAGTTTTATTAGTGTTGGTCACTGTACACAGCTGTGTAACCATCACCACAATCACGATACAGAACAGTTTCCTGATACTGAAAAGTTTGCTTATGCCGTTTGCATGACGATTCATCCCCTCCCTTGGTCACTGGTCCCAGGCAGTCACTGATCTGCTTTCAGTCACTATGGTTTTGCCCTTTTTAGAATGTCATATAAATAAACTTATGTAGTAGATAGTCTTTTCTGCCTGGCTTCTTTCACTGAGCATAATGATCGCAAGATTGGTCATGTCTTTGTAATATTAATATTTCATTCCCTTTGTATGTGGAGTGGTATTCCACTGAATTAATATGCCAGAATTTATTCATCTCTTCATCGGTTGATGGACATTTGGTTTGTTTTTCATGCTACCCCTTTATAGTCACACTCATTTCCTTCTCCCCTACTATCTTGAATCTGGCAACCAATAATTTATGATCTTGTCATTATGAAAATATTAGCTGGGCATGGTGGCTCACGCCTGTAATCCCAGCACTTTGGGAGGCCAAGGTGGATGGATCGCCTGAGCTCAGGAGTTCAAGACTAGCCTGGACAACATAGCAAAACCCTGTCTCTACCAGAAACACAAACAGTTAGCCAGGCATGGTGGGGTGCACCCCTGGTCCCAGCTACTTGGGAGGCCAAGGTGGGAGGATTGTGTGAGCCTGGGAGGCCGAGGTTGTAGTGAGCTGAGATCACACCACTATACCCCAACCTAGGTGACAGAGTGAGACTCTGTCTCAAAAAAAAAAAAAAAAAATTATATACATGGAATCATACCCAATTGGACCCTTTGAGATTGCCTTTTTTTTCCCTTTCAATATAATGTCCTTGAGATCCCTTTAAGGTGTTGCATATGCCAGTAATTCCTTTCTACTACTGAGTAGTAGTCCACGGTATGGATGTATCCCAGTTTGTGTAGTCATTCACCTACTGTAGCGCATTTTGGTTCCCCCCAATTATATTCAAATTGGATATGTGGAAGGGTAATTCTTTTGGAAATGTGGAGCCACTGAAGGTTTCTGTTTGTTTGCTTTGAAGACTTTTGTGGAGGGGAATAAAAGGATTGTATCTGAGTTTTTGGAAGATTATGCCAGCAATTCTACTTAGGATATTCTAGATGGGTTTTTTGTTTGTTTGTTTTGAGATGCAGTCTCGTTCTATCACCAGGCTGGAGTGCAGTGGGGGATTCTCAGCTCACTGCAACCTCCACCTCCCAGGTTCAAGCGATTCTCTTGCCTCAACCTCCCAAGTAGCTGGGACTACAGATGCGTGCCACCACATCCGGTTAATTTTTTGTATTTTTAGTAGAGATGGGGTTTCACCATGTTGGCCAGGATGGTTTTGACCTCTTGATCTCGTGAGCCTCCCACCTTGGCTTCCCAAAGTGCTGCGATTACAGGCATGAGCCACCATGCCTGGCCAGGATATTCTAGATGGTCTTGATGAGGGTGGTAAGAGCATGAACAAGACTTGTGGTCTTTCAAATTCTCATATATTCATTGAGATTATCTATTTATTGTCTATTATATTCCAGAGACTGAGACTGTAATTGTGTTAGATACTAGGGATATGAAGACTAGTATGACATAGTCCTTGTTCCCGGGAATTCTCAGATTAAGTAGAGGGCAATACTTACATACAAATAAATACACTTTCGTGCTATCGATGCTATCAAAGATGTCTATACCTGACTCATTAGAAATATAAATGAAGTGGGAGGGTGAGGGTCAGCGAAAGATTCAAAGAATGATGAACTAAAATAACATGTGTAGTGCTCAGAACTGTTCCTGGCACATAGTAAGCAGTCGACATAAATTAGTAATTGTTAGTAATGGTGGTATATGGAGGCAGGAAATAGTCTAGTCCAATTGATAAGCATAATAAAAAGATAAGAAGTGCTTTCATGAAGAACTCATATGCTTTCACCTGCCTAGAAGTGAGAAGAGATGCTTGCTCCTCTCCTTTGGCCTCAGGTAAGCTTTCTGTTTCAGAGACAATGGTCTCCAAACTTCTCCTTTGTCTATTTGCCAAAAGGTGTATGAATAAAAGGGCCAATATTCAAACAGAAAACAAATATAGTATACTATTTGCTGCAAAGAGTTTAAAGGTACATGCTTAACCTTGTAATGAGCTCCTCCAGTTACTGCTTGGACAGATCAATGAAATTCTTCAATAGGTCTTTTCGTTAATAAGTAAATTAGAGCAGTAAAAAAAAATAGCTTCCTGTGTGTGGGGTGGAAGGTTGGAAAGTCACTGCTCATGAGTATGGAGTTTCTTTTTGGAGTGATAAAATGCTCTAAAATTGACTGTGGTAATTGTTACACAACTTTGTGAATGGATTCAAAACTATTGAACACTTTAAATAGGTGAATTGTATGATATATAGTTCAATAAAGCTGTTATTAACAAAAATTATGTAGTGATTTGGAAAGCTGATCAAGTGATTACTAGAACAAAAAAAAAAAAAAAACGTAACCACTTACTAACTTGGTGTCATCAGAGTTCGTTTCAACTCTGGTTCCTGAAAACATAGTTCTACTTTTCTTTCCAATCGATATTTGAGGCCAGTGTGTTTCAAAGAGGCTCACCATTCCCACAGACAGGTTTGACATGCCAGAACTCATTCATCCAACCCTGGGATTATGGTCAAATGAAAGCTGGAAATAGGTCTGCTTTTCCTAGGCCAATTCAGTCTTCAACTTGCAAACTCGGTGCCATCCAATTCTCAAACCCAGTCCTGACCAAGGTCCCATCCAGAGGTCTGTATCTGATGTGCCTGCGATGAAGGCAGGAGGGTGCCTAGAGCACTCACATCTCCCCTACCTTCACTGCATTTGAATGGATATACCTGGGCTCCCACTTATAAGTAAGAACATGAGGTATTTGGTTTTCTACTTCTGCATTAATTTGCTTAGGATAATGGCCTCCAGCTACATCCATGTCATTGCAAAAGACATGATTTCATTCTTTTTTATGGCTGCATAGTATTCTATGGTGTATATGTACCACGGTTTCTCAATGTGGTAGAAGTGACCAGTGTTCTCAAGCCTGTATGTCCGTCTGGCTGGGCCCTGATTATTTCTCCAGGGGTTAGGCTTTACCTCTTATGTTTCTAGGCACAAGCTGGGGTCCTCCTGAACTGCGCAGACCATGTGCTGGATTTCAGGACCCCTATTACCTAGAGATTTTGTTCTTAGGTAATAAGCCCAAGTTTGCTCCTCTTCGTTGAAGATGGTCATTTAGAGTGCTGGCTACTTCACTTGGGGCAAGCCCAGTAGCCAGCTTAGCTGTCCTCGTTTCAGAAACCAACTAATTTTTTTTCTTTTCCATTTCTAGGAGTCTACTGCTAAGATTTCAGCACGTCCTATGGCTGAGTTAATCAGAGTTATGATAGGAAGGTACCTGGCACACCATCGCAGTGCTCCATCAATGCTAGTACGTTGTGTTCTTTCCTTCACATCAAGTCAACTCAAGCTTGCTCTACTTACCTGGTGTACACAGTCTAAGAACTGTAAGAAGACTGGAGCAAAACCACTCCCCTGACAGTTGAGGGTCAAGCTGCTCCGCTGACTGAATTTGTGACCAAAAGAGAGCCACTCTTTTTCAACCAACATCCGGAAGCCTTCAAGTGTCCTATAAAAGGGATCACTGAGTAACTGAACCAGGGATGTCACCTAGGGCACAAACAGGATGGATTGTTATTAATTTTAGTTCTGAAAAAGTCCTATTACTAAGATAAAAGCACTTCCTTCTGATAATAGCTAATTCACAAATTTACCTGGACAGCAAATTTGTTCACTAACCATTCCAGGATGGCCAATAAAATGAATTCTGTAAGCTTTCCAGTAAAAACTAAAACTCAAATTCATTTTGGCTACAAGTTTACTTTCAGGGAATTAAGCCTTTAATCCTTAACTGGCCAGTTTGCTGACAACAACCTTTTCCTAAGTTAATCAAAGGCCAGAGGATCAGTTAAAATCAATTCTACTTTTTGGCAGATGCAGATTAATGTCTTAATGTAGTCTGAACTCACTTTTCACTCTGGAGTGGGTTAAGGTGGGGCTTACAGAGAGCCAGGGGATGGACTGACAAAACCCAGAAAGGATGGTCCATGCCTCACACTGCTGGTCAAGGGCTCCATCCACAAGCCTGCATGGTAAATCTGTGGGTGGGAGAGCCTGATGCCTGGAGCCAGAGCTCCAGGCTGCGTAGGGGCTAAGAGCTCATGGTACAGAGTTTTCTGATGGATAACAGGTGGTGTTTAACACAGGACTTTCTCTGTCCATGAACACATTAGTCATTATACAAAACATTCATCTGAAGAATTTAAAAACCACCAAATGGAAATATAAATATAAAATGAAGTATCAAAAAATATGTCTGTTTACTTGTGCAGTGATGTCCCAGCCTTCCTCCAAACAGACCAAAACTGAGGAACCATTTTCAAGTACTTCTGATACAACCACAGCCAGCTGCATTATCCTGTGAAGCTAAGAGATAGGAAGGAGAACACAATTAGACCAAGCACTTTCTGAGTGCAGAAGTCAGAAAGAGTTGCTTTCCCTGGATAATCAAACAAGTTAGGAATAAAGCACTTGGATAAAAGAACCACATAATGTTTTAAATACTTAAAGTTCTTTCAAACCAAGATTAAACAATGACACTTTTGTCTGGGTGCAGTGACTCATGCTCGTAATCCCAGCGCTTTGGGAGGCTGAGCTGGGCAGGTCATTTGAGGTTAGGAGTTCGAGACCAGCCTGGGCAACATAGTGAGACCCCCATCTCAATAAAAACAGCCACAACATGACACTTCAAAAAGGTAGACACATTTTAAAACAATACATAATGAAATAAAATTACCTTACATGATTCCCCCAAAAGTAGGTGAGCTATAATTCCATAGAGTACAAAAGATATTCTATGTGGATTTCCCAGCAAAGGAAGGAAATTCACATGAATTTTATTGGATTTAAAATTTGTTTTTCCAAAAAAAAAATTTGTTTTTCCATGATGTAGTAAGTTCTATTTCAGATATTCTTAATTTTTTGGGAATTAGATAGTGGTGATAGTTACAAAACGTTGTGGATATACCAAAAAGCATTGAGTTGTACACTTTTATCATAAGGATAAATTTTATGGTAAATGAATTATATGTTAAAAAAGATACTCCTGGCTGGGCGTGGTGGCTCAATGCCTGTAATCCCAGCACTTTGGGAGGCTGAGGCGAGAGTAGTGCTTGAGCTCAGGAGTTTGAGACCACCTGGGCAACATGGCAAAACCCCATCTCTACAAAACATACAAAAATCAGCCAGGCGTGGTGGCATCTGCCTGTAGTCCCAGCTACTCAGGAGGCTGAGGTGGGAGGATCGCTTGAACCTGGGAGATATAGGCTACAGTGAGCTGTGATCGTGCCACTGCACTCTAGCCTGGGTGACAGAGCAAGACTCTGTCTCCAAAAAAAAAAAAAACAAAAAAAACTCCGATTTGTCTGGCTGTGTACGAAATGAAGAAAAAGAACTTTTCTATTTTTGCTAGTTCTTTTTTTTTTTTTTTTTTGAGACGTCGAGTCCCGAGCTCTGTTGCCCAGGCTGGAGTGCAGTGCCGGATCTCAGCCTGCACTGCAAGCTCCCGCCTCCCATGGTTTACGCCATTCTCCTGCCTCAGCCTCCCGATTAAAGCTGGGACTCACAGCGCCCGCCACCTGCGCCCGCTAAGTTTTGCCCCCCTTTCTTTTTTAGTGAGGCCCGGGGTTTTCACCGGGTAGCCAGGAATGGTCTCGATCTCCTGACCTCGTGATTCGCCCGTCTCGGCCTCCCAAAGTGCTGGGATTACAGGCTTGAGCCACCGCACCCGGCCTTTGCTAAGTTTTTAAAGCCACATCAATTGGCTCAAAGTCCTTGATAAACAATTAAGGTGTGAGAACAATATATAGATTTTAAAATCAAATGTATAATATTCTAGTTTTAAAAAATATTTTAATGATCATCAGACATAATTTGCAATTTGAATCCAACTCTGAACAAGAAAAATGAAAAAACCCATATCTTAAACAGAGCTAGGGTACTTTATTTATTTTATTTTATTAAAAAAAATTTTTTTTTTTGAGACGGAGTTTTGCTCTTGTTGCCCAGGCTGGAGTGCAATGGCGCAGTCTCGGCTCACCACAACCTCCACCTCCCAGGTTTAAGTGATTCTCCTCCCTCAGCCTCCCAAGTAGCTGGGATTACAGGCACGCGCTACCATGCCTGGCTTATTTTGTGTTTTTAGTAGAGATGAGGTTTCTCCATGTTGGTCAGGCTGGTCTCGAACTCCCAACCTCAGGTGATCCACCTGCCTCAGCCTCCCAAAGTGCTGGGATTACAGTTGTGAGCCACTGCGCCCGGCCTAGGCTACTTTAAACACAGGAATAAGGCAAATGTCCTACTCAGTAATGAGAAGCTCCTCACGTAACTGTTTCTACAACATAGCTATCACCAGGCCTGAATTCTTTTGGGGTCAGAATTCGTTCTAAGAAATGGCTATTATTAAAAAATCAAAAAATAACAGATGCTGGCGAGCCTGTGGAGAAAAGGGAATGCTTATACATCTCTGGTGGGAATGTAAATTAGTTCAGTCATGTAGAAAGTAGTTTGGTGATTTCTCAAATAACTTAAAAAAGAATTACCATTTGACCTAGCAATCCCATTACTCAGTATATACCCAAAGGAATATAAATTGTTCTGCCATAAAGACACATGCACACACATGTTCAGTGCTATACTATTCACAATAGCAAAGACATGGAGTCAACCTATATGCCCATCAACAGTAGACTGGATAAAGAAAATACAGTACATATACACCATGGAATACTACACAGCTATAAAAAGAATGAGCTTATGTCCTTTGCAGTAACACAGCTGAAGCAAACTAACACAGGAATGGAAAACCAAATACTGCATATTCTCACTTATAAGTGGCAGCTAAACATTGAGTACATATGGACACAAGGAAAGGAATAGATGCCTGGGGCCTACTTGAGGTTGGAGGTGACAGGAGGATGAGGATAGAAAAGCTACCTATCAGGTACTATGCTTATTACCTGGGTGATGAAATAATCTGTATACCAAACTCCCAAGACATGCAATTGACCTATACAACAAACCTATATATGTGCCCCTGAACACAAAATAAAAGTCAAAAAAAAGAATTTGCTTTAAGAGTTAACTTTTAAGATGTCAATATCCCAAGTGGGCAATTATTTCCACTGTCTTTAGTCCCTAACTTTTGGTACAGGTCTACTTTCTAGCAAAGAGCAGAGCACAGAATGTATCAGAAACATGGATAGATAAGTTGGGTGGTGGGGTCCGTTTGGAGCTGGGGCTCATAGCCTGGGGACAGAAGGGAGTATTGATCAGTTCCTTCCATGGGTATGCAAAGCACCCTAAATTGCCTTAATAATAATGAACACGGCATGATACATTTATAGCCAAATGTATATGTGGTAGTGTTTCTCTTTGGTTTAAGTATCTTGAGAACAGTCACTGCCCTGCCCTGGGTACTGACAGCATTCCTTTTTTTTTTTTTTTTTTTTTTTGCTTTTTAGTCCAATGTGCTGTGGGAAACAAGAGGCAGGATGTTTGCAGGTAGATGGAGGCAGGGGACTGGGAATTTCTGCAAGGTGATAACAAATAATGGGGGCCAGGCATGGCAGCTCATGCCTGTAATCACAGCACTTTGGGAGGTCAAGATGGGAAGATTACTTGAGGCCAGGAGTTCAAGACCAGCCTGGGCAATATAAGAAATAAAGGAGCTTAAAGACAAGGCCCTTTAATTTCTCAATAAAAGTTCCATTAAGAATATCCCAAAGTTGACTGAACTGAAAGACAGACACTGTGTTTTTTTTCTCTAGCCTTAGGTAGGCTTGGGGGCATCCAGTGTGCCTTTGGTGGGTAGTTTGGGGTGAATCTAAAATCTAGAGACCTGGGATAGGCAGACAAATGAAAGGTGAGAGCTCTTGGAGTCATGCAGAAGTTGTCCTCTGCCCTGGATCCTTACTGTACTGATAACAGAGCAGGAGCCCTGTATATACATGCTGATTAAATTTACTACATCAAAAATTTCCATCTAAAAATAATTTTCTCCTTAGTGTCCTATAGACACCAAACTTTGAATTACACAGAGATAAAAACCCAGCGATCAAGACTTCTACTCCCTCACCTCCTATATCAGATGATTTCCTGAAACTGAAAGGCCTTTACTGATGGCACGCAATGAAGGAGGAGAATGTTGGTGAGTGAGGGAACCAAGTATTTTTTTTCTCAAATACAGTTCTGTATATCTACTTGGGCCTCTGTTTCTCTGAGTTATAAAGAAAGAAGCTGCTTCAGACATTACCTGTGGGAGCCACTCAGAATCTCCCAGCGCTTTCAGGAAGGTCACTTCTGAGTCAGTAGGGATGGTGCTTGGGATACAAGCCCTCATCAGCTTCTTAAAACTGGCTTTCACTTGCCGGATTTCATGAAATTCAACAGGAACAAACTCACAATTTAAAGCAAATTCTACCTTGAAGTTCTGTGGATGAAGATTCAGAGAATCAGGCAGATGAAGTGCTATAGGTAAAAGAGTGATGTTTCCAATGGGGCAGTGCATAACGGTAAACAGTTAGTTGGGGCCAAATAGCTGCAGAGGCTGCCAATGGGTCAAAAGAGTCAATCTTGTATGGCAATGTGTCAGTGTTGATGGGAAGAGCCATTCAGTACAGTCTAGTGGTTTGCCTAGAATGGCAAATCTAGTCCTTACTAGAGGTAGATTACTTAGCCTAAGAGTGTTCTCATTCTGAGAACTGGAAGAGACTACTGGTAGACTGGAACTTGATGGAGCTTATAATACCAAATATAAGTCAATTATAAGGCCATGAACCCGGAACTTTAAAGAGCAACTAACGATACATGGACAGTATGACTACTCCAATAGTGTAAACTAAGTCTTCCCAAGAGGTATATGGGAAAGGATAGGTAATACACTGTTGGAGTTCCAGACTGTACATATATTAAAGTTTGTAGATATGCACATATTTGTTTCTTATTGTGCAAGTAAAACATATTCATAATAAAAATGAAAAAAGGTAGAGATAAATATTGAGAAAGAAATAAAAATCACTTTCTTGCTGCCCCAAGACTACCAACATTGTGGTGACTTTTTGTTTGTTTGAGATGGACTCTCATTCTGTCACCCAGGCTGGAGTGCAGTGGCACAAATCTCGACTCACTGCAACCTCTGCTTCCTGGGTTCAAGGGATTCTCCTGCCTCAGCCTCCCAAGTAGCTGGGACTACAGTCGTACACTACCACGCCCAGCTAATTTTTGCATTTTTAGTAGAGATGAGCTTTCACCATGTTGGCCAGGATGGTCTTGATCTTTTGACCTTGTGATCCGCCCACCTCGGCCTCCCAAAGTGCTGAGATTACAGGTGTGAGCTACTGTGCCTGGCCCTACTTCTTAAAAGTCAATAATAAAAAATTACATGGCTGGGCGTGGTGGCTCATGCCTGTAATCCCAGCAGTTTGGGAGGCCAAGGCAGGCAGATTATCTGAGGTTCGGAGTTCAAGACCAGCCTGGCCAACATGGTGAAACCCCATCTCTACTAAAAATACAAAAAGTAGCCAGGTGTGGTGACGGGCACCTGTAATCCCAGCTACTCAGGAGGCTGAGGCAGGAGAATCACTTGAACCCCGGAGATGGAGGTGGCAGTGAACTGAGATGACACCACTGCACTCCAGCCTGGGCAGTAGAGTGAGACTCCACCTAAAAAAAAAAAAAAAAAAAAAAAAAAAAAAAAAAAAATTTACATAAAAAAACCATGAAAGGCTTTGTTCATTTCTATCTTTGGGATAACATTTTTTCACTTAATATTATATATGTATCAACCTATATTTATTTGAGTACTTTCTCATTTACATCTTTAATCCATATGGAATTTGTGTGTGGTATGAGTGTTGCATTTGTAATTAAAGAATGCTATACTGATGGCCTACTGGTATATTTCATTTTAATAACCTAGCTGTGAAGATTTAAAAGTCCTCTAACTTTTCATGCCAAAGAATGAATTAATTTTCTCAAAATGTTTCCACTTTCTTTTCATTTTGCCCAAATTACTCTACTGGACCATCTGCTTTTTCTAAGAGTAAAACTGCTTTCTGGAGATTGGTTGCACAACAACGTGAATGTACTTAATAATACTGAGTCATATATTTAGAAATGGTTAAGATGGTAAATCTTGTTATGTGTATTTTATAATTTTTCCTTTGTCTTAATAATTCCATTTTAAGGAAGCTACTCTGAGGAAATAATCTAATCGGAAAAAAACCTCTGGGAATGGTATCTCAATAAAAAAAATAACAAAATAACCTATTTGCTTAGAATTGTGACTGTAATTTTATATACAGGAGATAAAGAAACCTAAACAACAATACGGGTTGAATAGTGACTAAAATAGTTATGCAGACTACTATACGACATGGAAACATGATGTTAAGGCTTCAGATAAAGAACCTAGTGATATACATGAGTTCCTTTCTATTATTTTAAAAAACTTATAATAGACAAAACATAGTTTACTTTTCAGGAAAGGTAGATTCCTATTTCCCAACTATACATAAGCTAGGTATGCCTATCTTAGAAGCCAGGAGTTACTAACCAAAGTAGTGAGACACTCCATTAGGTTGGAAGGAATTTGTTCCCAATAATCAAGTATTAAAGTATGTGAATTTACCTAGGTAAAGGTCAAATTCAAGATTATTTTCAGAATAACTCACTGTAATTTAATGACTTTCCTTTATGCTTCTTTGTTGGGAGAAAAAGGTATGGAATTGTAACTGGATGGCATTGTGCTAGCTAGAATGTGGCACATATCAGACAGATACAGAGCCGTATTCTACACACAAAATCGAATAAAAGATAAAACCTGAATGGAATATATAAAATTGCTGACAACCACTGTGCCAGAATGGTGGGATTACATTTTTAAAAATAATAATACTGGCCGGGCGCGGTGGCTCAAGCCTGTAATCCCAGCACTTTGGGAGGCCGAGATGGGCGGATCACGAGGTCAGGAGATCGAGACCATCCTGGCTAACACGGTGAAACCCCATCTCTACTAAAAAATACAAAAAACTAGCCGGGCGAGGTGGCGGGCGCCTGTAGTCCCAGCTACTCGGGAGGCTGAGGCAGGAGAATGGCGTGAACCCAGGAGGCGGAGCTTGCAGTGAGCCGAGATCCGGCCACTGCACTCTAGCCTGGGCGACAGAGGGAGACTCCGTCTCAAAAAAAAAAAAAAAAAATTATACTTGGCCAGGCATAGTGGCTCACGCCTGTAATCCCAGCACTTTGGGAGGCCAAGTGGATCACGAGGTCAAGAGATGGAGACCATCCTGGCCAACACGGTGAAACCTCGTCTCCACTAAAAATACAAAAAAAAAAAAAAAAAAAGCTGGGCGTGGTGGTGCGTGCCTGTAGTCCCAGCTACTCGGGAGACCGAGGCAGAAGAATCGCTTGAACCTGGGAGGCGGAGGTTGCCGTGAACTGAGATCATGCTACTGCATTCCAGCCTGGCGACAGAGTGAGACTCCGTCTCAAAAAATTAAAAAATATATAATAATGATACTTTATTGAGGAAGGACAGACAGAAAGAAAAAAGAGAGGGAAGGAAAAAGGCAGCATCCCAACTCTTTCTTACTCAAATACGTATGATCACACAGCTAATCTGAGAAATAATGTGCAAAGAGAATGGCAGAGGGGAGTATTAAGGAGCTAAACCTTGGAGAGTGATTCAGATCACGAGTAAGTGTTGTGCTGAAGCATGGAAAGTCTGTGCTCTGGAAAAGACACTGGCACCAGCAACCCTGGATTGCTGTAGAAAAGTGTTCTATTTTCTGGATATAAAATTATTTACTGTATCAGAAGACAAATATGCAGCTTTAAAAATTGAGCATTACCCAGCAGTTTTATGCCCTCTACCCTAAAGGCTGATGACTAAGTGGTTGCAGCAGTCCAGGCAGTGGGAGAAGAGCTAGCAAAGCCACCAGCCTGCTCCAGAAGAGATGACTCAGTTACTGGCGTCTTAAGGGCCAAGCATGTGGGATCTTGCTAAGGGCACCCTGCTCACAGTTTCTGCTCCATGGTTCAGCCAGAGGTCTGTCTAGGTTGTCCAGTGCCAACTGGAGCACTGGACTAAACGTTGAGATTTCTGAGTTAATAGGTAACTTTCATGTCCTATACACCTATTCGTGGTAATGAAATTTATTTTGTAATGCGTGACTTGCAAAACATTAAATTCAAGGAATTATTGTTGCTTTTGGAGGAAAAGACCATCTTTACAATTTATGGGCCCTCAGCATGGTGAAGCTCTTTAGCACAACAACTTAACAGTAAGAATACAGTTGATTAGCATCTAGTATTTTGAATTTTCTGACATGTCTTAAGACATGTGTCTCTTTATGTATAGCCTTGAGAAGTTTTAACAAGTGTTACTCAGAAAATCTAGACTTGGCCTTGCCTTGCCTCCATACGTGGCACCACAGTCTTCCTCTCTCCATTCTTCTGTCTTTCTGTAGCCTTTTTTATCAGTAGGTTTACAACAACAAAACTATCTGTTTTGCCATGGGCAGATTCCTGTGGAAAGTGAATCAAGGCTGTTGAAAACACAGCCTGATGAAGCCTTATTTCTTTTTTCGTATGTACACTTCCTAGTATTCCTAATGTTTATGTTGATTTTTTACTGTCATGAATAAATACTTATTTTCGTGGCTAATAAATATGCATATGTATATATGTGTATGTTATCTATATAAAAATTAATATATATAAATAAATTCAAAAAGAGAGCTAAATTTTTTGAGATTATTAACTCCAGGTTAAGAATCATGCTATAAAAAAAATTCTAGCAAACCTGGTTTGTGATACATGTTTTATAAACAGCCCTAGTGCATCCACAAAGTTTCTAAGTGAGAAAAAAGAAATCTTACCCTTAGTTGCGACTTTTCACCAAATATGTAAAGGGCTGCTTGCCGTTTCAAGAGCTGGTTTTGTAGGTAGGTGCTGTTACTGAAGGAGGCCGAATGGTCCTTGCCTGCCAGTCGGGCGCCAACATCAATGAAGGATGTTGGAGAGCTGATCAAGCGAGTGCTAGAGCGAAGACTTGCCCACACACCTTCACGAAAGCCAAAGTCATGGAGTGAGATAATCTAATGTGGGAATACCACTGACTAAGGAAAAAGGTGCATGCTCTGGAGCTACAATTTTAGAGGTCATAGCAAGTTGATTAATCTAAAAATCATAAGTCATATGGTCATTTGCTACTTCTGTAACATAAGCATTATCCAATATAGCATTTCAAAATCACAGAATCTTAGCCTCAGAATGACCTACCAAACCCCCCAAATCAATCTTATTTTATATTTTGATGTAAATTCAGGATTTAAAAGTAAATACTAAGATCATAAGTAGAAACAGTACATTGACACTGAAAACAAAACAAGCTGGCAGGAGGTACTAATAAAGTTTAGCAAGGCAAATGCTGAGTTACTCAATTTCTCAGGGCTTCATGAAAAAAGTAAGGAACATTCTTCTGCTTATTTGGTCAATTTCACATGACATTTAAAGATATAAAATAGAAACTTCTAAGTCTACTAAAATCTGAAGCTGGATTTGGAATTAATATTTGTATATCATGCCAAAATGATGTAATTCTAAACAAGATTATATTATAGTTTTTTTTTTTCAGTATCTGTGAAGAATGAGAAATTATAAATTTAGTAATGGGCACAGTGCCTCACGCCTGTAATACTAGCACTTTGGAAGTCCAAGGTGGGCAGATTGCTTGAGCCCAGGAGTTTGAAACCAGCCTGGGCAACATGGTGAAACCCCATCTCTACCAAAACAAAACAAAACAAAAAACAAACGCCTATAGTCCCAGTTACTTAGGAGGCTGAGATGCGAGGATCGCTTGACCCCCAGAGGTGGAGGTTACAGTGAGCCAAGATAGCGCCACTACACTACAGACTGGGCAACAGAGTGAGACACTGTCTCTAAAATAAAATAAAATAAAATAAAATAAATGAATAAAATGTACAGTCAGAAGCAGATACCTTTATTTTATTTTATTTTTTTTGAGACAGAGTTTCGCTCTTGTTGCTTAGGCTGGAGTGCAATGGCATGATCTCAGCACATCACAACCTCCACCTCCTGGGTTCAAGAGATTCTCCTGCCTCAGCCTCCTGAGTAGCTGGGATTATAGGCATGCACCACCATGCCCGGCTAATTTCGTATTTTTAGTAGAGACAGGGTTTCTTTATGTTGGTCAGGCTGGTCTCGAACTCCCAACCTCAGGTGATCCGCCCACCTCATGCCTCCCAAAGTGCTGGGATTACAGGCGTGAGCCACCACACCCAGCCAGAAGCAGATATCTTCTAAGAGAAAGGGCAAGCTAAAATGCTAGAAGAGTCTCAGTGAGATAAGTTGACCTTAGTTATATTAATTAGAAAAATCAAGGATTTCTATATGCAAGTGAGACTATTAAATATCAAATATCCAGACACAAAGGCATACACTAATTCTCAAATTTGACTAGCACTGTATCACCTTCAAATCAAGAGGCCCTCATAAATGCCTGTAGAACTGTGGTGTTTATCTCAGTGATGGGGTCACAGGGATATAGGACTTTCCTACTGCCTCCCTAAAGTGGGTTTTCCTCTTTAGATCTAGAAAGCCTGTTTGAGAAGCTTTAGTCTTTTCCCAGTATTAAATTGAAGTCATGTTTCTAGGTGACCAGAAGTCACCATGATAATGTCACCTCTGCTTCTCTTTCTCTTTATAAGCATTTATGGGGTCAAGAGACCAGTTCCCAAGAAAAGTTTTTATGGCTCATTTCAGCTTCACATGCATGAATCTTTGAGACAGAGTTTCACTCTTGTTGCCCAGGCTGCAGTGCAATGGCACGATCTTGGCTCACCACAGCCTCCACCTCCCGGGTTCAGGTGATTCTCCTGCCTCAGCCTCCCGAGTAGCTGGGATCACAAGCGTGCCCCACCACGCCCGGCTAATTTTTGTATTTTTAGTAGAGATGGGGTTTCACCATCTTGGTCAGGCTGGTCTCAAATTCCTGACCTCAGGTGATTGCCTGCCTCAGCCTCCCAAAGTGCTGGGATTACAGGCGTGGGCCACGACGCCCGGCTGCATGAATCTTTCTATGTAGTTTATGAGTTTTTCTTAGACATTATGGCAATTATTAATTTTTTTGTAAATGGAATCGGAGGAAATTCAGAATGTAGATGAGAATAAAGGATATAATTTTACAAATGCAAAAAAATTACTTGTAACATATGTAGTTTCACATGAAGATGGTTTAAAAGAGTGACATATCAGGACACATAATACAGTACCTTGATTATGGACTCTTCCCTTAGCTGAAGATTTGGGATTTGACTGAGTAAAACATTTATCTCTGTACCCATGCACTGGTAGGTAAGATTAAAGACAGAAAGAGAAATAAAATGTATATAGTAGCAAATGTCAGAGCAGATTGAGTAAGAGAAGAATAGGCTACTTAATTTTTAAAATTAACAGGGGAAAAATGTAAATATAATAAAAGTAGAAGATTTAATTAACAAACAAAAAGCTGCAGTCACAAAAAAAAGATGCATTGAGTACCTGTTAAATGAAATTTCAGCACCTGTTTATAAATACTATAAGCACAATGAAATGGACAGCACACAGCAGAAGGTGCCACTAAAAAATTATACCAAATGGAATAAGCTTTTAAAGATTATCAGTCAGTCAGAAACAAATTTATATAATAAAATTAAGGAATTTGGGGTGTGTATGTGTAAATGTTAGGAATACACTGGTCCTCATATCGAAGGAGACTGGCGAATGCTGTGTGTTGTACAACACATTTGTTCTTTGAGCAAGGTCATCACACCAGGAAACAATGAAGCTCTAGCAACCATTTGGAATAACTAAGGGCATATTTTTGCAGTAGAGCATTAAGCATTGCCACGCTATCTTCCTTCTCTTTTCATTTGGAAATAACATTTATTTTCCATAAATACTTATGAGCAGCAAAAATTCATAACCCTGTGACAATACCCAATACCACTAATAATACAGCTTGTGATGACTGATGTAATGACGTCTCTTAAAATCCCTACTTGCACCAAAATGATAGGCAGTATTAGAGATAATAGTTTTGTAATTTGAGTAATATATTTTTTCCGACAGAAAGAAAGGAGTTTATGATGATGGCACACCAAAAATTGTGAGCAGTTTTAGCACTTTCCAAGCAAACAAATTGCTCAAGTCAATTAGAGGAAATGATTTTATATTTATTCAGTCAGGATTGCAATCTTTAATAGTAGTATTAAGTTATACAATGCAAAATTGTGTAACATATGACATAACAAAAATCATTCGAAGTGAGTTTTCATTCCCACTTCACTTCTTTAGAAGCAGAAAATGAAGGGCACTGATGGCTCTTGTGGCCAAAGGAAGTCAGAAAGTAAGGGCTGCAGAGGTGCTGCCTGATGACAGAGAATGTGACTGCAAGACAGAACAAAGGCTTGGGACGACATGGCCAAGGCACACTGTGTGGCCTCCTCTGTGTTGGCTGACTGCTCTCCTTTCTGCCAAAATTTTGAACTTTCCTATTGAAAATGGGACACTAAGATGATGATAGTGATACTTGAGTAGTTCCTGATTCTGAGATACAGCTTCCTTAACACATCACACTTTCTTACGCTAGTCTTATTGCCTGGAATGATTTCTCCCATTTCCTTACCTGACACATTCCTACGTAACCCTTAAGATCCAGGTAAAATGTTAGTACCTCTTCAAGGCATTCCTGACTGCTCCCAAACTGGGGAGCTCTATTTGAACTTTGATCACATTGCATCATGATTATCTGCATATTCTTTCACTCTACAAGACTGTGTGTGTGAAAGGAAAATAAAAACTCAGGACTCCAGTTCACTATGCCAAAAGGAAAAAATTAGGCTGAAAGCTGAGACATACAAGAAGCTGCTTTTCCTTTTGTTCCTAAACAAACAGCTACAGTTAAAAGGTTAAATTTATCCACAGATAGCTACTGGTATGTTCACTTTATCTTATAGACAAATACATAATTGACCATTCTCCTACCTGCTCCTTTTTTCTTGCAACATGTGGATTACTATACCCTCCCTCTTTCTCATTTAAATATTAAAGCCCTCAAAATCATTGTTGGAGAAAGGCACAGACCTGTCTCCAGGGTGAGTCCTTAACCTTGGCAAAATAAACTTCTGAATTTATTGAGATCTGTTTCAGGTACTTTTTGGTTTACATGTGCTAGTGAGGGCAAGCACCCAATCATGTTTATTCTTGTATCCATGCTGACAGCCTGAAATACAGGCACTCAAAGAATTTGTTGATTATTTACTTTTTGCAAACCAATACATTGTGAGCTGTTGTGACTCATTATTATACCTTCAACCCAATTATTTGCACTGAAAGAGTGAAAAGAGGGGTATTAAACAAAAAATAGTAAGGACTCCCCCAAAGAAGGGCTCATCAATGAAAAACTGCCAAGTTTTGGCCAATTAGTAGAAAATCAGTAATGATAAAATGGCCAGTACTGATATGGGGCCAGCAGGGGGCTTTGAGAATTCTAATTCCATCTGGAAGTCATTTTAACCAAAGGAATTAGACTAGCGCATTGGTTGTTGGTGGTGAGGTCTACTTAGATTTCCTGAATGATTCCTAGATGTCCTGGGCACTTAACACCAGCAAAGGGTCTCAGGCAGTGTTTTTCCAAACTGCAGGATCATCCTTAGTGGCTTGGGAAGTCACTCTAATAGGTCAAATCAGTATTTTTTTCAAAATTAAACATTACAGTTGAAAATACTAATGAGCACTGCATGTGGTACGGATGAATATTGTTTCACAAAACTTTTGTTTTAGTGTATATATTATACATTTTGCATGTGCCTTAGTACTACCTGAATTGTGATATAAAATGAATGGGTATGTATACATATAAATATAAAATACATTTCTTACTGTGAGTCATGATCAAACAAGTTTGAAAGTCACTGGCTAGACCTAGGGCATATGCCTTCTATCTCTTGCCTTAGATCAGTAAGGCTCAAAGCAATTTAAATGCAAATGTCAACTTTCTTC